AATTTTCTCATCTGATGAGTTTCCCTGTAAAGACACAGTTGCTATTAAGAGGAATTGCAGGTACCAGCGAAATGATACCCTCTTCTTGGTTTATTCTCAGCTTTCCCAAAATTTTTGAAAATCCTGATATTTGGCAGACTCTCTTCAATTAGCAAGTATCTGGCCTGCATGTCCAAAGAGATATATGTTAATTATGATTTGCTCCTATAGAAAAGAATTGTTTATTATCAAAGCATGAGGAAATTAATTGATCAAGTTGTCATCCAGCCTTTGCCCCCGCTCTCTGCAGGGTCCTTCACAAGCGTTTCCACTGACATGCCAGCCGTGTGCCAGGCCCCATCCTGCACCCAGGAAAACAACACAGGGGTCCTGCCTTTGGGAATGCAGGTCTCCCGCTAGGCTCACGTGTAGGTAGACGAATCACAAATCCCTGCCCTGGTTCGTCTCAGTGGTGATGCAGGGTCTATCTATATAACAGGTACAGAACTGGTTACTTCTGGGAAGAAAGGGAGGTCTTCATGGAGGAGGTGACATTGAAACTGGTTCCTGAAAAATAAGATAAGGTTAGCCAGGTGATAGCTGGGAGGGGCCAGGATTTCAAAGAGTAGGAATAACACAGGTAGCGCCATCTCACTTTTCTGGGGAAGCTGGGGAGTCTGTCCATCGTGGGGGGCTGGAGGCTGCAGTCCTGAAAGATCCAGGTCTGGACAACTTGGGAGCCAGTGTGCCCGTGGCTTTGTATATCTCTTGAAGAGATGATTCACTCCATGGGCACAATGACTTCATTTTCCTCTTTCCAGAGGGCACTTCTAGCTGGGTGGTGGCCGAAAACCTGGGTGTGTGTGGGAAGTGGGCCCGGAGACCCCACGGGAGCTGGGGCAGTTGTCCAGGCCTGAGATGGTGGGGCCCCGGGCAAGGCGGTGGCAGCAGCGCTGAGGAAGGGAGGGAGGTGATGTGTCTCCAAGACCCGGAGTCAGCTGATCACAATGTCCCTTAAATGGGTCAATGTCAGAAGAGTGAATGCTGTGGGTGGGGCGGGGGCACCCAGCATAGCTCGGCACTGGGAGCAGAGCGAGGGCAGCGCCCCTCACGTGGCTGCAAAGCTGCCAGAGCAGCGCAGAGAAACTCTCCGATAAATCCAGTGAGGTTGTATTTCCTACAAGGGGGTTCTGAATGATTAGGCTCCATTCCTGCCAGGTGTTAGTTCTTTTTAAAAGTAATTGACTTTCCATCAAGCAGTTACCCAGGCTGTGAGACTCAGCTTTGACCTCCACACGCTCATCCATGGGTCTGCATCTGTGCCTACATATTCTGTGCTGCTCCTCTCCTAGGGGTGGGCTCTCCCCACTCCTATCCCCATGGGCCCTGGAACCCCTCTTCATTCCGGGACACCATGCGGTCCATCCTCCCTCCCCCACAGCGGCAGGGTTTTGCTCCCTATCAGCTGATACGCACTCACCTACAACCATGCCAATATTTCTCCCATCTTCGCAAAGTATAGCTCTTGCTCTGAATCCTCTCTGCAGCTACTGCCTTCCTCCGCAGTACCCTGGTGTGAACTCCCAGCTCCTGTTTCTCCTCCCCGCCCCATGCTCTCCAGAGCCTGTTCTCATCATAGGCAACCAAAAATCACCTGCGGAGTGAAGGAGTGAGCGACGACATGGGTCCCGTCTCCTTTACAGCCTGGCCTGGGCTCGTCATGGTCCTGCAGAAGCACCCATGTCCTGGCCTGAAGGAAAAATGCAAAGTGTCTGTTTTGGAAAGTTTTTCCTTTCCTCATGTTCTCTTCCAAGGCATGACGAACAGAGCACACAGTTTTCTGTCTTGACAAAGAAAGGCTGGCTGTGGGGAACAGAAGCCAAGTTGGTGGATGTGACTTTGATGGGCAGTGAGTCCTTGCATGCTGGACTGCCTCTGAAGCCCCATTTCCTTCGGCCTTTCCATGAAGGCCTCTAAGCCTGGCCACCATTGTCCTTTGCTCCCAGTGGACGAGGAGCCCCGTCTGACCACCTTTCTCAGGCAGCTGTCTCGGTCTTGTGCACGATCCAGGAGAGGAGGGCATTGCTCCCGTGAGATGGGGCAGCTTTGAGCTGCAGACACCAGAGAGAATGCACCCACCGGGTCTGGGGAGGGAGGCCTGACTCTCTCAGAAATGGCTTTAGAATAATGTTCATCCTTTGATCGGATCATTGGCAGCCAGCTGAGCACACTGGGAGACCAAGGATGGGATGTGGCTCAAGGACAGGTAAGGGCTTAGAGAGTGTGCAGGGACCTCCACTCTGTAGGGAGAGGGTGCAGGCGACACTGAGGACAGCTGGGGCCTCTCGCATCTGGGCCATAGTTCTGGAGTCGCCATGTCCTCCTCATGATACGTCTTTCCTGGGACTCCAGCCCCTTATCCTGAAATGACTGGAGAGAGGCTTGCTCACCGCACTCCTGGCTGAAACTCTGATGGTTCGGAGCCTCACGCTAGTCCTGGGCCAGCCTGGGCCAGCTCTGGTGCAGAGGGACCTCAGCCAGTGCCTGGCTTCTTCCACACCTTTCAAGCATCAGGGACCTGTGTGGGGCACTGGAAATTCAGAGAATTGTTGCCTATGACTCTTTTCCCAACAACTGTCCAGGAAAACAGATGAATTTCAGAATGGCTGAAATTCAGGCATCCTGTAAAATGTCCTCGCTGGTGAGTTGCCTATAGCTAGAAGCATATGAAACCGGAGGGGTCCCCTGATATCCTGGTGAGTCATCGCCAGCTGGAATTCTTAGCAAGGACGGCTGTCCGGGCTGGCATCTTCTCTTCATTTGCCACTGTTCTCATCCTGGGAGATCGGTGTTGTCACCCTATCAAACAGCTTAATCATCAACCTTATAGTTCTCTGTAGGAAATCAATAGCTGGTATGTTCTCTGCAGCCACAGTCTTGAAACTAAGGAAGGAGTTTCAGCAGAAAAAAAAGTTTTCTATGTATGAAATGAAGAAGTGGAACTTCCCTAGACCGGGAGGTTCAGATGCTGGGGAAAAGATTATTGTCACAAGAGAGCATAGCTGGGATCTTCTGATGAAAAGAGCTGGCGGGAGGAATGTGCTCTGTGCTGCGAGTGAATTCACGGTATCAAGAAGGCTATAAACTGGATTAGGGATTTCAAATAGGAAAATAAAGTTGTGCGTTGACTTGATGCTTTTTCATTTAGGGCTGCGGTAAACCTTATAAGCTTGGAGCGTGTCTAAGAACGGAGCCAAGTCAGGGTGTCCAACTGCCCAGGGGGTCAAAGCGATTCTTGCACCAAGATAATCTAAATCTAGATCGATTGAATCTGTTTTCTCTCTGGCACTGAAATATTTTCCAAGGTATTCACCTTGGAAATGTGAATTACCCTGCTCTTTAGAGCCCTATCCAATTAAAAGTATATGAAAATCTCCTTAATACAGAATGCTTTAAAATGCTGGGGGAGGTAGGAGGTATGTATTTATAGAAAATCTGATAGAAAATATGACCATGGAACCTCAGGAGGAGTTGGATAAGAAATCTATTCAAGACTTACATTTCTTTTAAAAAAATAACTTTTGATATGTATCTAAAGCATCTCACCTGTCATTTAGGATAAAAACAGATTAAGCTTTTTCTCAGCAATGAATGAGAAGCTCTACCATTTCTAGGCGGATGAAAGAGTGTGTATTAGCTCACAGAAAACGTAAACTGGTGAGAGAGAAGCACAGGTGAAGGTAATGTTTCCTCTCAAATGGTAATACTCTGAGGGAGCAGTCGGTCACTGGAGCTTTATGAGAAACGGTGAAGGAAGTGCAAGAAACCTCCCCTTCCTAGAGATGTGAGCCTGGGCCCTGGCAAACCCCTGAGAAAGATCTGGAGCCGCAGATTAAGATACTCACAGAACACAAGGTGACTCTGAATGCTTCAGTGGGATTGAGGAGATAGGTGAGGGTCTGGGACAGGATCAGCCTGGGCCATGGGAAGGGCACTGTGCCCACCTAGCTTCCTGGGCGTGGGCCTTGTCTTGGAAATCTTTTCCTATTCTGGGCTTATTTACATCCACACCCTCAGTTCTGGTTGATAAACATTGTTGAGCAGGCCAGGCTACGGTCCGGAGGTTTTAATTATGCTCAGTCCCTACGCTTGAGGGACTTACAGCCTCCAAGGAAAAATGACAGAAGAGCGCTCCAGTTGCAGTGTTTTGCTACTACAGGTTAGACGAAGGGGAATCCAGGGTCATTGTGGGAGCAAAGAGAGAACGGTGGGCAGGACCCAAGAAGGCTTCCTAGAGGAGATGATTCCTCTATAGGTAGCAGTCTCACATAAAGCACTTCATTTTTCCCAAGGAAAATTTAAGTCTACTGTATGTATCAACAAATCATTCCACAAGTGTCCAGAGTTTATCAGCATTTTTTAAGTCAGTTACCTGATTGGGAAAGCCACTGTCAAACTACTACTCTAAAAAGTTCCCCTTTCCAAAATGAAGGCAGGCTTTATTTACATCTGCACAGCAGTTACCCACATAAAGCGAGCATCTTGTGAGCCTTAGGTTAGAGCTGAAATATATCCTGGTCTTTCTGACAGTAGAAACACTGCTTATTAAATGGGAGTGTTTGGGAAAGGGGCAAAATGAGGCGCGTGGTTCCTTCCTCCACGCCTCTCTCAGCCTCTTGCCACCCTGCAGCTGCTTGTCGCGGCTCCATGGCTGCTCGACAGATGGGCTGCGCGACCGTGACCAGCAGCAGAGGGAGGCCCGGGCCAGCAGACGGCCCTGACCCTTTGCAGAGACCAGCATGACAGACGAACCAGCCATTGACCAGCCCAGACAGGAGACAAAGGACATGAGCCTCTAGAAAACATTTGTGTTTTTCCAACATTATTTGCTTCGTGTTTTCAGATTAAGCAAGCCTATTTCCAAATTACTGTATTATGAACAGTTGTAATACTGTTTCCCTCTCTGATCACGCGATGCAGATGTGCTTTTCTCTTCCTCTTTTTTCTCTTTTTCCTCACAGATGTGGGAAGAGGCCATTGCTCTGGGCAAGGAACTTGCTGAACAGTATGAAAATGAAATGTTTGATTATGAACAACTCAGTGAATTGCTGGTAGGTCTTTTTACTGAATGCAAGCAAATCTACACTTATTTTTCTGGAATTTCCTGTTCCATTTTAGTTTTGGGATTCTCTTCAAGGCCTCATCTTATCCAGGAGGATGGTTTTGATGTCATTGCTGGTAGATGCTGGCCCACAAGTATTCACTTTATCCCCACCTAAGCTTGTGTAACCAAACTCTAAGACTTACTGAAGTCCATGAACGTTTGTATGCGAACAGCTTCTGACCCCATGTGTACAGTGCCCTGGACCCTCATGGGTCTCTGAGAGTCTGTCCTCATCTATAAGAAGGGAGTGGCTGGATGGAAGGCCAGACCTTTCTCCTGCCACAGAAGCTCTGCTGGTTTAAAATTACTTTCTTCTCAACCAAAAACCTTTTTTTATGTAGCAGATCACCTTGATGATGGTATAATGTTGATCAGGAACTTAGGGCAGAATTCCACCCTTTTAAATTCTTCTTTAACATATCCTAGTGTCTGACCAATGCCCTTTAAAAAATACTAAAGACCAGCCATTTAATCAGAAGGAAAAATATTTCTGTGGCACCTCTTTGGTTACTGGGAGCATGAGTACGTTACAGCCGGCTGCTGAATGTGGCAGTTTGGGTTGGAGCCCCTGCTGGGTGCCAGGCGAGGGGATGTGTGACGCTGGCTCAGATGCTTGCCCCAGCACCCCCGCCCAACCCTACTGCCTTGCCACAGCATGGGGGGCCCCCTGGAAGGAGCCTGTGGAACGGATGCCTAGATACGCTATTTAAACCTGAAATGCATTTTCTTTCTTCCTTTTAGAAAAAACAGGCTCAATTTTATGAAAACATTGTCAAAGTGGTAAGACCCAAGCCTGACTATTTCGCTGTTGGCTACTATGGACAAGGGTTCCCCACGTTCCTTCGGGTAAGTTTTGATCCTGTTTAACCTGAGCTGAGGGTGCTCCCCGGGCAGCAATCCCCTGCCTGTTCTAGGGAGGGATTTGGACTTAGCAGCCTTGGGTCAAAGCCTGACTCTCTGTTCTCTATAGCTCTGGGTTAGCTTAGGGTGCCAGACAGGGACTCATTATATTTTCTTTGATTTGCCATCTGATTTTTTCCTAAAGAGAACTCTCCTTTGGAGATGTATGTGTATCTTAAACATTGTGATGAAGTATATGTAACACAAACTTTACCATCTTAACCATTTTTAAGTGTCGAGTTCAGTGGTGTCAGATATATTCACACTGTACACAACTATCGCCACCATCCATCTCCCAGACTTCTCATCTTCCCAAACTGGAATTCTGTCCCCAACGCCAATCATCCCTTCTTCCCTCTTGCAGCCCCTGTCAGCCACCCTTCTCCCTTCTGTCTCGTTGAATCTGCATACTCTGGGGACCTCTTATAAGTGGAAGCCTGCAGGGTCTGTCTTTGTGTCTGGCCCATTCCCCTTGGCACAGCGTCTTCCAGCCGCATCCGTGTTGTAGCCTGTGTCCGAACCGCATGCCTTTTTATGACTGGATAATATTCCTCTGTACAAATAGACCACGTTTTATTTATCCATTCATCCTTCAATGAACATTAGGATGGTTTGGGCTGTTGTGAATAATACTGCTATGAACATACATATGTTTAATTACACGAGAAATCAGAAATGGATTTTTATGGCCACAGTGCTGAAAACTCTGGATCTCACTTCTTTCTTCTCTACGGCATGTACCGTTTGACACACGATCGAAAAAATGCTGTGGTCATCAGCCAAACACCCGTTTCTTTCAATACTCATGGGGCCAGAGGAGAAACTGTGTAAATAAGTGCTGCCTGGCCTACTACTAGAATTATTTAAAGTTTCTCAGAAACTTACTCTTAGATGCCATTGACCAGTGGGTCATGATTCCCTGTCATTTCCTAAGACATCTTTTTAAGACACATGGTTTTCTCTTATCCTGGGAGACCATGTGTTATTCCTCTGCTTTTGGAGAAGCAGAAGCTCTGTGCCGAGGGCACAGCCTTCCGGGCAGTTAGATCCAGTTAGGACCTTCTCCTAGCCCCAGAGGTTTGTTCCTTTGGCCCCAGTGTTTCTGACCCCTGGATCCGCTATGATAGAAGACAGCCTCTGTGCTGGCCCTGGAAGGGCTTACTCAGTGAGAACCTGCCATCTTTATTGACATCAGCAAGTGACCCTCACAGGGCTGGCCTGTTCCTGAGAGGTGACTGCTTGGTTGACCTGCTCACTCAGGGTCCTGCCTGGGTGACTGGGGCATCTGGCCCTGTCCTGTCACACTGGTCCATCTCTCCCCGACACTGTCACTTTCATTGTGTAGCTGTGGCAGTCAACGTCCAAGACAGCAGTTGATCAGAAGCCCAGATTCTGGAGAAAGTCTTCCTTTACAAAAAGTGAATAGAGGATGTTCTGTTAGAAGCCCTAAATTAGGGAGAATTTTTAATTAACTTTATTTTAAATTTGCAAAACCAAGCCAAAGTGTATGATGAGCTTGGAGTTGAAGTCACTTGATGTTGTTGAAGGCTTTAATGATCAGGTGTGAATCTGTGTGTGTGCTCCGTGGGTACGTGTCTCCAAGGAAAACACAGACTGGCCCTCGGTCATGGCTGGCCTGGGCTGTGCTGAGGTGTCATAGTGGACAGTGCCATGACTTAAGGCCTCTGACTACAGCTCTGCCCTGGCATCCTGAAGCACCAGCGTGGCAAGCATTCTGCCGTCTCTGAACCAGTGGAAGCCAGGGATGTGCTGGGAGGGTGCACAGGATGGGGACTCCAGGACCCCCCTGGGTCCTCTCCCCCGTCAAAAGGACAGAATGCAAAGTGTGAATAAAGGGTTTAACAGGCTTGATTTATGTTGAACTGACTTTCCTGCCACACCTGAATAATTTTGTGGGGCTATAGCAATATATTTATTATGCTTCAGAGATCACCTGTCGGGTCAATCTGACAGTGACATCAGCAGTTACAAAAAAGCGGGTGGAATGTTTAACTCCTTAATGCAGAGCAGAGAGAGGAGCGTCCAAGCGCTCGTCACCTGTCCCTTTGCTTTATTGTCCTTAGACACTGGTCTCTCTCTCTCTTT